GGGGAAGATAACAACGGCGGCAGGATGGCACGCGTGTGACGGAGCCGATAGTGATGGAGAATAGGCGAGAGGGACAGGTGACGCAGGTGATGATTGGTCTATGTCATCAGCAGAGTTCAGCAACAACGGGGTCGGTCAACGGAGGGGACAGCAAGCACAGGTGGGAATTTCGCATAAGGGAGGATGAAGCGAGTGAGTTCCAAGGCAAAAGAGAATAGACAGTCACTTGTGTGTGGGGAACGCCTACCCTCGAAGTTGACAAGAGATCATTCACATCCAAATAGCCAAGGATGTGCAGCATGATCTCGTTTGGAATTTCTGAAATGGCGCCTGTAGGCTGATATGGAGGCCGAAACAACGCCAGACAAGACGCTGACGAGGCCTCGAGAAGGTACTGTTCGTGATGATGGTAGTAGTAATCATCGTCACGAACCCCATCGGCTGCTTGGGGCCATGGTCGGACATCAGTGACCGCCGGATACGTGGAGTCGAGCTGAGTGGAGGAAACGGCGTAGCCCGGGCCATGATCGCCGGCGGGTACAGACAATGCGGGAGAAGAATGTGATATAGCAAGCTGGCGGGTCGAAGAGAGGAGCTGATCTGGGGCCATCTCGTCGTGCATTGCGTCCATGGCTGAGTCAGTCGCCTGCAAGCGACGAGATGGTGATGACACCAATTGAATTGTTCTGGTCTCCAAAGAGCACAAGCACAGATGAGACAAAGATAGGGAGCTGTACGAACGGTTGGTACAGCTGGAGTAGCTGTTCAAGTCCAGTCGTGGTCAATAAGGTGGTTGCCCGTTACTTCGGAGTAATAATGAAATGGGAATTCTTCGGTTCGGAGTATGGTCCGGAGCCCGGGTAGGCGCTAAGCACGAAATTGCGTGGATAAGTTGCGTAGGAAGCAAGGAAGGGGCGCGGGGACCGACGAGGTCGCTATGAGGGAGTGCGGGATAGAGCCAAGTGCTTCAGATGAGACCATGGGCAGATATGCTGGGTACCATGGCACGGCAAGCCTCGCGATAGGTTGGTAACCTTGTGTGGATAGTAGGATGGGAACAGAGAAAGATGCGCTGAAGTCGAGAAGATTAGACGAGTCGAGGAGAGTACCGCGCGCGTCAAAGTGAAACAGAAAAGGTCGGGTAAGTAGATGTTTTTGCGCTTTGCGCGCGCGTGCCGTGGAGAGACTGGTCGTTGGAGGCCCGGCCAGCGACCGGCAGACTTAACGCTTGGAGGAAATCCGCGGCGCGGAACTAGTCTCGTTGATGTGACGAGAGGAGCATGAAGACTCCAGCTCAAGAGTAATGCGACGAAATGCTTAACGCGTCCACTCGGGATCGACTGTCCTATTCGATGCTGGCAAAGATCGGGGGAACCATCGGGCAAAGATAGAATGCGAAGCAAAGGCGCGAGGAAGGGATGATCGGGACGGATGAGGGGTGCTCGGGTAAGTAGGATACGGAGAAGAGACAGTGGTCAAGCGAGCTGGCGGGCCGAGGAGATGGGGTCTAATTCGCGGTCAAAGTCGAGGCCAGAGTTGAGGCCGATGACGAAGGTTGATGATGAGTGAGTTGACAGGCGCACCTTTCATCCGGCGGAAACTTGAATCATGAGCATGCGGTTGATACTGAGGCTGCAGACGCGTTGACGACGGGCATTGAACTGGGAAGGAGCGTGACAGTATGGAGGGGAAGGAATGGGGCCTGACGCACCTTCACCTTAAGGTTGGTGCATCTAACTAGGTAAGGTACTGTACGGATACAGCTTGCGCCTCCATCGTTCCAGGCTGCGTCACACGGTCCAGGCAGAAACCAGGAACAGGGGTATTGGCGGCAGGTGCGACTCACAGTGCGCAACGATGCCTCTTGATAGGTAATCGGCAGGAGCTCAAGGTGCTTCTTCATCAAACGGCAGGAGCTGGCACTGTACCTAGCGCCGGAACGAACACGCACTTTCCCAAGCCACCATCGACTCTCCCCAGCACAACAGCTCCGATGCGTTCTCCTCAATCGTTTAATCATTGTGTCCACGTTGCATAAGGCACCTTATTTTCCACAAAGAAGACGTTGAAAATAGAAACCGGCGCTGAATTGGAGCGGACGCTAACGCCGCCACCGCGTATCCTTCAGGCTTAGGTATCTCAATATCAATCCAAAATCTCAGTCGCTTCTTCTGTAGCTCAAGATAAGGTACCTTGGGGTATAGGTGCCTTGAGGTGCGGAGTACTGAGGCAGGAAGTCAGCTTCTTTGGAAAATTAAAGGTACCTTATCCGTCCCTTAGCAAGAATGAAATGGGGGAAAGTAAGGTACCTACCTCAGATACCTAGATACCTTCATCACCCAGGTGGGCTTGGGATTCCAGAGATCTACAGAAAGAGGAAGCTCACGGGAGGGGCTTTTAGCTTCCCCGTCTCTCTTCTCTCCGCAGATTTCGGCCACCTCATTCCTCGTGCCGGTCGCCACGGGTAGTGCCTTCTGTCAAAAGATCTAGCCGAAATGGGGCAGTCACCCAACACCGCCAATGGGCCACCAAATGGCCATCATCCGACTGCATTTGATGCAGTCGGCTGTGACACCCCTTGCTCCGAGAGACCCACTTTTCAAACAGCTCCGGGTCTACGCTTTCCACCGGCGCTTTCCTCCTTGCCTTCCAACGTCCAACATCCACACCCGTCGTCAAGCCACAACCCAACGCCCTGCCATTCACTCACCGGACAACTGCCTTGATTAATTGGACAATTCCAACGAACGCGTCTCAGCTTAGAGGCTCAACTACTTGCTTTCAAGTCGGAAGCAAAATCGTTATCCCACATCCTACCCTAAGCCGCCAGCGGTACCGGCCTAGTTTCTTACCAAGAACCCCTGAATAAGGGCTAGGCCGTGTTCACGGACAACCTGGACCTGGCCTCATAACGGGCCGGCACGACTTGCACCTGTTCATGATCATCCCCAAGACACAGAATGATCCGAACAGAGAAGCTCGCTTCTACCCATGCTCTCCAAGGTGCCTTACTTTGACACATCGAGCTTTGGGCTTCAACCGACTGATATCTGCTACAGCCTGAGCAAGAGCCCTGACCCTGGCTACTTCACCTGCCTTTCACCTTGCCCTTGTACAGCTGGATTCTCCACGAACTGCTGTCAAGACCTTCCATTCTGTGCCCTCGAACCCACCCGCAACGGACGCCCGCAGCTACCCCCGGTTCCCGCCATCTTAGCAGTTGCAACGACAATGGACAACGCAGACCCTGGCGCATCTATTCTAGGCATAACTGTACCACCTGCTGCATGCCGCAGGGAACCGCCATCAAACCTGCAAGGGCAGGCTTCTTACGAACCGGTCAAAGCATACAGCAAACGGCATACAGTATGCAGCCCCTAGATGAACGAGGCTGCAGTCTTGACTACGCCTTGTCAACGCCTTCGTTGTCATCAACCAGCCGGAGTTCGAAATGCATCGAACGATATCAATCACACCCCGTCACACGGCATGAACGAGCAAGATGGGCTCTCGCATTGGCATCGGGCAGGAATCAGCAGCCAAGCGGCTTTTCCCACGACACGGACACCAGATTCTGCCACCATCCGTCTGCATTGTTAGTTTTGGCCTCGGCCCCGTGCTTGAACCGCGCTGTCTTTCGAGATGTCTGGTAATTGAGGCAGACCGCGTACTGTCAGAAGGATTTTGGCTCCTGATGTGGTGGTGAGACCGATTTTCCCGGCCCAACCAATTCGAATTTGGCCTCGTCCAATCACGCTCTTGGGTGGCCTTCCTTGCGGCTGCAACAGAAACGCGTCTGTCCTAGGCGACCAACGTCAAGCGCATCCTGGTCACATCGAAATACTTCGTTTGTCTCAACGTCGTCTGTTCCCGTTTGGTGTCCCACTCATTGGCAGATTGCCTTCTTTCCCGGTGCCCCTCAATCGAGCATCGACGTAGCAGGGCCAGCAGACAAGGAATCCCGTGGAAGTCCATGTCGGAATCATTGCTGGTCCTGGAACGCAATGCAGCTGATCACAGCTTCTCCACCAAAGTAGGCTTTCAGCTTGTCTACACGTTCGTGCCCTACCGTCTCGTGGCAACCACGAGTAGCGTGCTGACGTGCGTTTCTTCTGCCCGTCATTGGCCTTTATTTGTCGTCTCTTTTCACCAGATGCACCCAATCACGTAGCAAATAACGGTGCATCGTTTCTTCAGCGCATGATTCGCAAAATCCCAAGAGTTCGGGTGGCCTGCAGGCGTCTCCTGGAAGCCCGGGATAATCATTGGCCTTAATGCTTCGTGTTTCTTTAGCTTCGTCCTGTCAAAATCAAGGTCTAGAGGTGTTCCTTAGTTGCAACACCCCAACAGCTCATGATAGGTAGACGGTTTAAAGCACTCTTAGTGGAGTTTTTCCAGTGCTACCTCGCTTCGTGTAGAGAGCTTTTCCACCGTTAGAACATCCGAGGTGAGGACGTGCTCAACATCCTTCCTACGGCAAACGGGCCGTCCCGTTTGCCCATCAGCTCCCACTCAAGGTTACGGTTCACGACGTGCCCGCGCGAGAGCGACAACCTCACCGACAGTCGTCTCGGCGCCGAACACGGATCACCCGGCCTCGAGAATGGACTGGCCGCATCTCTGGCCTCCCCTCTTTACAGCCACCCTCCTCCCCCTGACAAAGTATGATGCCCTCGCCGGCGGCAGTCGTGACCAGGTCAGTCTCGAGTGGCGCGGCTGGTCGTTCAGCTATTGTTCCCAGTCAAATAACGGCCGTGTCTATGTAATGGTGGCATTCTCCGCTGTAGTCTTTCGAGCCTTTTGATGTACACGAACGCAAGCCTTTCCATAAACGGTCTTCTAGTTGACAGCGCATCGCCGTCTTTCACAAGGGACTCCCTACTTGTGAACCTTGAACAGTTGCAGGAGGTGTGTCAATGTCGGGAGAGGTGTTCGTGGCCCCGCTCGACCACTCAACTTTCATCTGTCATGTGTGCCAAGCCAAGTGGGAGGAGGCTCGATCAAACTCGGTGATTTGCCCCCAACCTGCACAGAGCACCGGAGCCTCGTTTTGATTGTTGCAGCTCGAGTAGATTGGACAAACCACTGCAAGCGCGGTTCTTTTCTAGCCTAGACCCAATCATAGGAAGCCCGCGTCAGTTGCTGACAACGTTCGCGAGCAAGTCATCGAGTAAGTCAAGGGACAGACTCGGTTGAAGGAATAGGCGGTGCCGTTTATTCCAATGAGAGTCAACACTGATTAATCGTTACCTGCGGACTGTAACAAGAGCTACATCTGGTGAATGAGGTGTCACCGGGGAACTTCGTCCGGTGGACTCGGCAAGCCACACGTCACCCACTAAGGTGAAATAGGTGAAGGGGCGGACTGGAGCCGTGATGCTGCATCTTTGATCGGCAACCGACGCACATTGCCAGCCCAAACTAGAAGAGGGAGTGAGTACAATGCCTCTCATCAGGAGATACCTTTAACGTAGCTTGGGTCTAGGCACATGCACCTTCGTTGGGGCTCTGATGCAGATCGAACGCAATGTAGTGTGGAACATCGGCCATGGCCAGCAGCCGGCCGCCACGTTGTCCTGCCCAGGGCCCTAACCAACGCCCGAAGGCCTTCGTGAGGACCGTTCTCAACTTGCTCGTCGCAAGGTCCGCCGTAATCCAAGGGTATCTAGTAGACGAAGCAAACGGGCCGTCCGTATTCGGACAAGCCAGATAGTTCATGTGAGGGGATGGGTCTGCGGACTTTCTCAATCTCTTCGACGGTACACCTAGACGGTTATTAGCCCGCATGGCCGGTGAGCTGGTTTAGCCTACCACTGGGGGGTAGCATAAGACCTACATCATAAGGCGAGACATAATCAACCACCCCCCCCCCCCCTTCCCCCTCCATAGAAGCAGACCATACAAGACAGGGGTGGATGAGACGACCGATTATTCGTCAATGACCAGGTCGACGGACTCAGGAAACGGGCATCCGGCTCAGAGAGGTCTGGCCCTGAGTGACAAGGCTTTCTTCCTGACATGTTGAGATCGATGTCGCCTGCATGTTGAGCTGGCCTTGTCCGGGGTTTCTTTGCCTGTCCCTGCCCAAGTGGCTGCAAGGGTCCCTGAGGTTGCAATGACAGTTCTCCTGCCTTAATCATTGTGTCTCGTCTGGGGTTTTCAAGTGTACTTATTAGCGTTCTCGGGCGTGTTTAGGCTCAAGTAGACCGGCGGCGACGGAAGTAGGGGATAGGAAGGTGGCGATGAAAATGTCAACCTTGCATCCATGTCACCTCGATGACGTTCCATTATGTGCGGCAGGCAATGCCCAGGTGGTCTCACGGAGCGGCCCTCGGTCAACCGACCCTGGCGCCGTTGAAAAGCCCTTGCCTTCCGACCTTAGACACGGCCTTCACCATAATTCTCTATCCATATGCCAGTAGTGTGGGGGAGCCAATAGTTTCCAAAGGAATGCCGCAGAAAATAGACAATGGCTCGATGGTTCATGCCGGCTACCATCCATCCTCCCCTCCTTTGCCAAGGCCCCTCCAGGGGAAATGGCCAAATATCCCTACCCTCCACGTCAAGCTGACAATTATCTCTTGCTGGCGGGACGAACCATGGCCCGTGTGCAAGGAAACAAGAAACAAAACCGCAATCAGGGATTAAGCACGTATGAAATAGAGAACCCCACAGCGGCCGCAAGCAGAGCGGGCAGAAGACAGCCTTACCTTGAGCGGGAGGCTAGATACCACCCCGTCGCTCTAATACTTGCAGGTCGCAGCCCGTAGCGGGAACACCCACTTCAAAGAACCCCCAAGGGTGCTGTTCAAGGTTTTACCTGGGAGATGAAATCTGCAAGTCTTCTGCAGCATCATATCCGTCCACATACATACAAGAAAAGCTCGTTGAAAGTGGAGAAATTCCGCCTTATGTTTGTGACTGTCACATCCAAGGGGCCAGGGAAGAACACCAACTGGGCATTGAGCCACAGGAAAGAGGAATGATTTTGCGGTAGGATAAAGGAATCGCGCCTGATGAACGAATGTACCACACAGGACGAAGGTGAGAGGCGGGCAGCTGCTTGAACACTGAAATGAATGGCTAATGATACAGAGAAAGATGGAGGAGATATGCCACCCCAATTCGTACCTGAAATTTGGCAGCTCAGGCACACAATAGGCGTTCATTTTGTGTTTCTCCTACCAACGCCTCATCATGTCCACCCACACCAATTTCGAGGCATTCTTCATTCCCTGCATCGTTCATATTTGGAGCCAGGCTAGATTGTTGTTCTCAATTCCATGCCCCCTTGCAAGTCGTAACATATCAGAACATCTCCAATGCTGAAGAGTGGAGTGCAAAGCGTCGAGCAAGGTCCCCTGGGCCCTGCGAGGACATTTTCGAAGCTACGATAAACGTGGCAAGCAGATATCCTCCGATGACCGCCAGCCTCAGCCTCGAGATGCAAGCTGGCGGGTGACAGGCTAATATATGCGTTTCAAGGTTCGTATCATCGACAGGGGAATAACGACGAAGATCTCGGCGACGAGACTCGATGTACCATACGGGGCGGATCCGAGACGGAATTTGGAAAGCCATGATACCCACCATGAAAGTTGACAGATGTAATGTACGTCATTTCCGCTTTTCTGAGAAGTATCAAAGTCGATTAAGCCGGTATGGGTCGGTCGTCGTCGTTCTTTTGGACACGAGCGTTGTGTAAGTGGAGGCAGCGGCTAGTGGACAATTGATGATTGCTCCCACGCCTCGAATAGAAAACAAGTTGAACATGGCCATGGCGGCGGCCTGTTGAATATGCATCATGTAGGTATACATGCGCGAACGTACGTGTGTAGTGTAGCGCAGTGTGGTGAATTGTATCTGTATGGAGGCATTATGTGTGCCAGTCGTGACAACACATCGTGCGGGTCCCAATCAACGACCTCGAACTATTTGACAAAGTATAAGTTAGCTCAGTTGCCCCTCAGACTAAAAACATGCTACTATGAGACAAGAACCTGCAAGAAAAAAGCGTTTTCACAGGTACATCGATGTCGAAATCCGCTTTGTATACGCCTGATACGGAAACATCGCTGCCGGGGAAAATCAGAAAACGAGTATCAAAAAACTGTTAAACCTCGAAACGGCCAAAAAAGGAACGAACAACCTCACCTTGGTGTATTTCCGGTCAAGCAACATCGAGAAAACGTACCCCCGTTACCCACACCCCCGAGCCGGGCCAGCAAAAAGAGACCACTGCTGCCCAACGGCCATTGCGCCGAACAGCCAAAAAAAAGAGACTTCTCGATCGCGGTTGCGAACGACATCCTTTGTCTCTGCCGAAACGGGCTGCCAGGCACACCACTGCCACTTGTAGCTGGCTGGATTCTTGCTGCTGTCTACTGCTGCGACTGCTGCGGCCATTTCTCAATAATACTACAGTCTGCCTGGTCAGTTCCGTTTTGAACCATTTTCTTTTGGATTTTCTTTTCACACGCCCCTCCTTTACCATGGTCCATGGCATTCAATTTCTGTTCATCCCACGCATTTTACCCCCATGGTAAAAAGCCCCCAAGCCAAAAAGGCTATCCCTGAAGAAGATGGACCATCATTGGACACAAGTGACCAAAGAAGCATCATTGTGTACAGCATGGTATTGCATGTTGTAGGGGGAGGGGGCAAGGAAAGAAGGGGGGCGGCCAACTTGCAAAGATGGGAATGAGAGAACAGGAAAAAAAAAAACATAAATAAAAGATGGCTAACAAACCTTTTGTCTGGCTGAACAGAGTCTGAACAGTCCAGTACCAAACCTGGCATCCGTGACTTCATATCCTACCCGAAACCCCCGAAACGAAACGAACCACTTCTACTCCTCTCTTGGTTCTGCTGCCACCGCTCCTCCTCTTCCTCCTTGTCTCCTCCATTCTATTCTCCACCACATTACGCATCGACAAGCTAGTTGCCTTCTCTAGCTAGCCAGACGGACCGGCCCGCCAGGGGACGGGGACAAACAACATCGAAAAAGAAAATACCGAAAGAGAGGAAAGAGACAACCGGAAGGGAAGAAGAAAAGAAAGAGACAAGAGAGAAGAAGAAGACCTTAGGGGGTGATCGAGAATCAAGAGGAACAATGTGTTACTTTTATCAAACACGTTGGTCCTGCGGATATTGGAGATGGGGTCAGTTCAAACAGCAATGCAACAAAGAGTACCGAACGGGCGAAACATGCGGACTGAAGCTGGTGTACGAAACCATCACAAACGAGGACCGATGCAAGCTGTGCTACGATATGGACAAGAAATATCGTCGGTTAACCAAAATGCAAGGAGACGTCGCTCGGTGGTGCCGCGAAGGGAATCGCAAGGCGACGATCGAGCGGACAAACCTCGAGATTCAGGAAGTCAACCGCCAGATCCAAGAAATGAACAATCAGCATTGGACACGGGTGAATCTGTTGGCCTGATGGATCGTCTACTGCCTGGCTGCTGCTTTGCTGCTGGACGATTTGATCATGGTCCATGGAGGGGCTCCTATATGGGTATGTTGCAACTTTTTTTTTTCTTTGGTTCGGCTCTTCCCTTTTCCCCTCACCTCCCTCTCCGAATTTTTCTCCATAAACGAATGCCCCTCGTTTGCTGGACCTGTTTTGTGCGGCATGGTGGGAGTGGCGGATTTGCTGCTCAGGGGTAAGCCGAGTCGGGGGTGTGGTGTGTGTGCATGCTGCGAGAGTGTGTGTGTGCCACAGCTACAGGACTGTCGTTTGCTGACTTGGCTTCTACTATCAGTGGCTCTCGAGCCTCCCTCGCATCTAGAGGGGACGACGATATGACGAAACGGAATGGAATGTGCGCGGAAACAATGGTGCGGAAAATCGATTGACGAAGAAAGATTGAGGGAAAAGCGACAAGCAAGTCTTTGACACACTGCGGGACTGGAGAGGTTTCCTGTCGGACCCTGGCTTTGGGGGGAATTTCCAAGTTGAACCACGTAACGGCCGTTCATTCGCTGATTCTGCATCATTTTTGGTCTCTTTTGTTCTTCTTTCTTTTTCTTCTTCTTCCTCTTCTTCACTTTATTCATGGTCACTTCTGCTCAGGTTGGGCGGGCGAAGGTTTAAATTTCCCAGACCGGAGGCTACAGGATCCTGTACAGTTTTATTTCTTCACCCGGAGAGCATCTCGATATACTTAATTTCAGCCCTTGTTGGCAGTCAAAGTGTTGTGTGCGTTTGGTGCCCGCAAGAGACCGCTTCGTGTAGGATGCTTCGTCGCGAACCTGGTCCGCCGCTTAGACGGCGACAGGGACTCGAATGATGGGCCCCTCAGCAGCACCTTGCTTAGTTCGTATGCTCATCTCAAGCTGTCCTCGGAGTCCCTTCCGTCATTTCGAATTGACTCTTCTGTCCCCTGCCTAAAAGGCCTTGGCCATACAGACACGCATTTTGGCAAGCCCAGCTCGAACGGCTCGGACCTAGAGACTATTGAATTTTGGGAGCCGAATGATGGCAACGCCAAGCGTGGCAGTCATGCTTCCTTCTCCAGGGCACACATGACTAAGGAGGGATTGATGAAGAAAAGCTCTCCCACTTTTTCCTTCCTGCACGGCTGCCCATCCAGCAGGTTTTTGGCGTGCTTATCAGGTAAGTAAGTTGCAGAAAGCAGACTCTGCCGGCGAATGAGAGTG